ATCTGGCTCCTGATCATCTGGTATTTTCACAACTTCATGTGCATTTAGCACAATATTGTCTTGCTGTGAGCCCGACAATTTACCAGTATTACGTTTTCTATCTGGTATACAGGGATTTGAAACCTCCACGGAGTATGCTTCTGAAATGTCCATTACTGCACCATTACCTGTATCATAAATAGATTCCTTATTTTCTGGCTGAGTGAAAAGTCTGCCCAAAACTGTTTCAAATAGTTGCTGTTGCAAGGCTAACATCTGCTGGTTCTGTTGTTGTTGGAAGGCTAACATCTGCTGGTGCTGTAGCTGTAGTATTAACTGCACCTGTTCTAAAGAAATGGACATTTTTTTTCTGCCAATAATAATATTAACTTCAAAAATAACCGGCAATTTATTACAGCTAATTTATTTCCAAAATCTGAGTCACCACTTGTATTATTTTTTTTGCGAAAATCCCCGTCGCCAATTGTTATGTCCTTGAAGTTGAGGGTTCAAAACTTTTCTCCACCCCGTCGCCAATTGTTATGACCTTGGATGTCTGACTTTTCGATCACACGATTTACCTACCAATCCGAATACGACTTATACAAATCTTCACACTAGGCCAACCAATGACGTCCAACCGGTGTGGGCAGTTTAGCGTCCTTATTGGTCCTATGTCCTACGAGCCCTTCCACTTGAGTCCAGAACAAGATACCAGCTTCTGAATCAGAGCAGATCGTTTATTTCAGGCATACTTGGTTTATATATCAATCATACAGACCGCAACGTACCATAAAATAGGAAATAATATTTGTACACAAATAAGCCCAAAAAGTGGCTGTGAATGAGGGAGGCAGTAGTTAATAAACTGAACATAACTTAAGAACCGTAAATCGTACAATAATAAATTATAGGCCAAAATAAAGCTTGTCATAAGAGGGATACAAATATACATAATGTAATTGTTGAATAGTTATGCAATAAGAATATTAGTCCATGAATAGTCCTCGGAAGTTACCTGTAATTTAATCTCCACTCGGATATAACAGCTTGTGGTGTTGTGAACGATAAATTTTAGTGTATAATCTATCGATAATACATTTGCAAGAAAAATATTATATCCTGCTATATTAAACAAAGGCTTGGTGAGGAAAACCAATTTTCCGTTCAATGCAAAATTACTCAATACCTTCGTAAAATATGAAAATCACATATTTGTAGCATGGCGTCGAGTCGAAATTGACTATGAACACCGCTACCAAGAAACACGTGCCATAGAAATCCATAAAATCCCCGGGAAGCCAAATATCAGAAGGCAGTTAATGGACCAAGTCGAGATATATTTGCTGGCGATCTCGTGATATGGAAAGAATACGGAGATCGTGCCAGAATACAATCTTGGTTACAGAGCGTAACCGAATTCGCGTGAGGTCACAATCAAAGTGTAAGAATAATGGATGCTTTTTAGCACAGTTAAACAAAAGCACATTAAAACAGTCACTGGTACAATTGGTTATAATAATAATTGCTTTCATTAAACCAATCGTGTTCTCGTGATAAAAGTGAGTCACTACAGGAGCCCCCCGCTAGAAAGAGTTTACACTTTCGATAAAAAGCGGTTTAAATCGTGGGACTGATCGGCTGACGAGCGATTGTTGGACGGAAGAATTGGCGGAACAGGAAAGCGATCGTTGATCGTCGAGTTGCCAACGAAATTCTTTTTCGGAGAACGGTACCAGGGGCGATGTGCTGTATTTGTTGCTCGAGTTGGCATACCACACCAGAGTGGTTTGTTACCAGAATCTGAAGATTGCGTTCGTAGGGATGCGGACCAGAAACGCTGCAGACGTTGGACGAAACCACGTTAAGCCGAGGAACCAGAAGCGACCATCGCGACCAAGTTCGAGACGAAGCGTATGCTAAACATTCGGGACCAGAATATCGACTGAGTGCGTTGACAAGAGCGTGGGTGGCCAATCCAGCTTTCGCCAAAGTCGACGGTACCAGACGGGGATGGTCGGAGGTGTGGGCTCAGGATAGGAAAAAACTCAAAAAAGAGAAGAGTGTGGCATGCATGTAGCATAGGAATAGTCCTACACCGTATCGGTTGTTAACTGTGCGGTTAATCGCGGAAGCGTACGGGTAACCGTACTTGGCGACCGGAACGTGAGAAAGTAGTCTCGTTCGCGTCGCGTGAGCCTGCAATCTCATCCGAAGTCAAGGGCGACGTGGTCTGCTGATCTGGACGTGAGACTGTCGTCTCGTCCGTAGATGGTGCAGATGACGCGTGCTGTTGACCGGGACGTGAGAATGAGGTCTCAGGTGTATCTAGCGTAGGATCTGAAGATTTAAGGATCCCGCTAGTAGGTTTGATAAGTCTAGCATTGAATCTCAGGTTGTCAGATAGGGCACTGTCATCGACGTGTGCTGGTTTGAGACGATCAATGCTGACGATCTCGATGCGGCCATGTCGATCAACCTTGAAGGTCTTTTCGTGACGAGCGATCACATGAAAAGGACCTTCGTAAGATTGTTGCAAAGGTTTGCGTACCAAATCTACTCGTATGAAAACATGTGAACAGGTAGATAACTCTCAATGGAGAGCGACCTGTCGATGTTGTGTTCGAGTTGACACCGGAGGCAGCGTTCGCACAAATGCAGACAGTCGTTGGACGTAGTCTGATTTACCGAAATCAGGTCTGCTCCGTGGTGTGAAGAATTCTCCGGCAGATGCAATGTCGTGCCGTATACAAGTTCAGCGGCGGAACATTGGATATCTGCGTTCAAGCTCATTCTGATGCCTAAGAGAACGAGCAGTAAGGCTTCGTGCTAGTTGTTGTTTTCGTGTGCTCGTAGAGCACTTTTAGGTTGTCAATGGAACGTTCAACTTAACCATTTGGTGCTGAGTGGTAGACGGTAATGCGTATGCGTTCCGTACCAAGAAGTCGGGTCAGCGAGGAGAATAGTTAATAAGGGAAAATTTCTCGAAGAAAGCTTGGAATTTACCGTCACGCGAATAAAAAGTGACAAGGACTCGGTACACGTACATGGGAGTTTATTATGGTAATATTATTCTTATCGTCATCCGTCATGTCGCGTATATTACATATTGAAAGGCAATATGAAAATATACGACAGACGTGGATAGATAAACTATAGACTCACCAAATTGGCTTATTTGGAAGATTCGACCAGAGGTTGCGGCGTGTTCGAGAATTCGGCTCACCAATTGTTGCGTGACGTCTAGTCGAAATTGACTATGAACACCGCTACCAAGAAACACGTGCCATAGAAATCCATAAAATCCCCGGGAAGCCAAATATCAGAAGGCAGTTAATGGACCAAGTCGAGATATATTTGCTGGCGATCTCGTGATATGGAAAGAATACGGAGATCGTGCCAGAATACAATCTTGGTTACAGAGCGTAACCGAATTCGCGTGAGGTCACAATCAAAGTGTAAGAATAATGGATGCTTTTTAGCACAGTTAAACAAAAGCACATTAAAACAGTCACTGGTACAATTGGTTATAATAATAATTGCTTTCATTAAACCAATCGTGTTCTCGTGATAAAAGTGAGTCACTACATATTAAATACATTATTTGCACATCTTTGACTTTTCCTTTACATACTCCTTTATCCCTCTACTTCCGTTGTTATTTCGATAGCCCTCCAATTTCCTTTCAGCTCTGTTCATTTCAATCCACCGATTGCGTCTACATACTACTTAAATCTGTCAGCATAAGTAGAATACACCACGGTAGTACTATTAAAAATCATATGACTATTGTCTCTTTGTAGTTGAAGACTATTTGGCAGTTTACAACCACCGCTTCACATTGGATCGAATCTGAAAATTAAGATTTAGTGATAGGTATGGAGTCTTTCAGTAATTGAGTTAATTTTTAAGTCGTCAAAATTTATCATTTCATTTGATTTGCAATACAGAATAACTGTCATCTAGTATCAGTAGTAACGATTTATTTTATTTCCTTGTAATGTCAATGGTTCCCTAAGTAAAATCATTTCATGTTGAAAATTAACCCCCTTTGAAACACAGTGTTCTATACAAGATTATATTAGTAAATATAGTGATGATTATGCAGGGTTATCTAGGGATGAAATTTAACGAAGATTCCAATGGATGATTAATATTACTCTCCAATTATTTGACTTTATATGAAATATCTATTTAATCAAATAGCTTTGATGTTACCTTATTGTATGCTTTGAGTTTAGTATCATTTCATGCTTTCTACTTTTAAGTTGACGTTGTTCATTATTAAGTCATGTTTGGTATGTTGAAAACGATGAAGAACAACTAGGTGAATAACGTAATTTCATTTTATTTCATTAGACTCACCACACCCACTCCTTACAAACTGTAATACTGCAGCATCAAATGTTACAAATGAATTTCAACATATTTATGGATATGAATTTGGTGAAAGGACGTTTCACCTTGGTGAAACGAAGACTCAAAGTTGAGAATGATAATAGTAATGATATATTTGTAATTTCCCAATGAAAAGTAAAATTTTTGAATTTCAGTGACTTTGTATAACTCACTTTCTCAGAGAAATAAATTTCTGAAGTAGTGGCTTAGATTATTTTTAAGATTAACGAATTACCCAACACTCAATTTACTTGAAGTTATTAGTTCGAACCTTGGTGAAGACACCTAAATAATGCTCTCTTCTTAGCCTCATCTTACGACGTTCCAATTGGAATAGTAGCAACTTAGACCGTACATATTCGTGCCAGGTCCTACATTTTCTATAATCGACTGACTAACCGATAATAGTTCGATAACTATAAGTGATTGCACTAAATTAATAAATCCAACTAGATAGTTAATAATTCCTTGATCGTATTGTATCACTGCATATCATTCATCAATCGGCCATTTATTCGTCAGTTATCTTTCCAAGATAATTATCAGCTCGTTCTGTTGATTAAAACCAAATTCTCCTGGTAATTTAGAAATATTGTTTATCTTTTGGTCTACCATTTGTGTAGGCCAACACCAGTTACAACCCATACGTTTATGGCACAATATGAAAACTATTCAAAAGATTCATTCGCAACACTAAAAGTACAATATCAAGTACGTAATAAATTTTCATTATTCTTGTTATTGTTTCATTGGTTTTTTTTTAAATTTTAATTATTCAGTACCAGTTTCTAGTTCATAGTGAACAAATCTTCAAATAGAGAAAATATACAAATCTGTCCCAATTCTATCAGTGGAAGGAAAATGAATAATTACTGATTTCTTGAGTAATGCAACTCATTGTCCACATACACATTTGTCCACTTAGTTTTAGGTTACTGATAAATGAATAAAGATTAGTGCTGCTATTCGGTGGATTAACTCAACATACATCGATTTTTATTTAAACCTACCACTTAGTGTTTAATATTTAATTGTTCAATCACTAATCTATTGTATAAGGCTACAAACCAGATAGGGAGAAAAGGTGAAATATTCATCGTCATTCACAAGGGTTACTGACAATATTTTACCTGGGAAAATGTTCTTTTCAGTATCGTTATTGGGTTCCTACTGCATACTGCTACACTGTTACCCAAGAGACTTGAGTAGGCTTAATAGGATTGCTCTGTGAAGTTGTGAATATGCATTATTGAGAAATCCAAGACTAGGACTGAAATGCTATTCAAACCTTTTAGGTTTTAAAAGATTCTTCGGCTTTTGTAATTCGATCAAAATCTTTACACGGCAACTTTATTTGTGACAGAAACGCTGAAGGTGGTTTATTTAACTATGTAAACATTGCAAAATGTAATTCATTAAGTAGTCAAGATGGCTATTCTTTGTTCGGTAATTCCAAAGTCGACCATTTTACACGTAAACACATATATCAAGCTTATTTTCATTATCTATACTACAAGATAATATTCATCATTATTCAATATTGCGGTAGTCATAGATGACGTAGGATTTATCACAAATATGTATTAGTCCAGGTTGAAGATTTCCAGATGAGTCTAGCTCCAGGCAATCAATAAAATAAAGATCTGTGTTGGGTTGTCGTCTGTTTTGCTACTGACAAATAGATTTCCTATATGTGATGAGGGACAACATTAGAAGCTTTATTGGGAAACTTATGCACACTAGCTGACTCATAGATACAGATGTCTTTGACGGATAATTGAGCCAAACTTCGATCGTTTTCATGTCTTGTGTCGCTCGGGTGATTAGACCAAACATCAACTAATACTCTGCATCCGTCAACGTCTTCCACCTATAGTTTGGTTTTAGACTAATATATCCAATTGACCCAGCCAATCAGAAACAAAAAGGAACCACTGGTATCTATCGGCGTGGGAATTTGAATTTAACAACATCGAGGAAAGAAATTAATGAATTGACAATAATAGGCCCTTATTACAAAAAGAGACAACAACTGAACCTACCTGGATCATTGTGAATGGTTTTTTAACTAGTCACTTAAGGTCTCAGAAGCTTAATTTTGATTATTTCATAAATCTCAGCTTTGACATATATATCTCTACCACACAACTTGAGTTAACAGCCAAGGATTTCTTTCGCTGATATCATGCGTTAGCTTGTCTACCTCCATCCTTGTTTCAACCTACTGCGTTGACAACCAGCATATAGCGTCAGGGTATAGATATGTTTCGGCATGGATTCTGAATTATAGCTATTCTAGTGAATATTTATGCATTTGCATCAAAAGAAATTTTCTTTTTATATTCATTGTTTAGTTAATAATCAGTAACAGTCAATTTCTAATACAATCAGATATGTTGAGTCAAGAAATTGGACAAAAGAATATAAATAAACGATTAAATCGTTTTAGTGATATTCTACCGTGTAAGTGTAATGTGAAATAAATAAAAAATATTAGGTTTTTAACACCAGATATTTACTTTTTTTCAGTCTGATAAATCTTTCACTACACTATACAATTCTTAACATTGAATTATCCTAAAGTGAAAATCTGGCGAAATAGAATATTAAACAATAGTAAAGTTTCATAAAAATAACTAAACAGTTTCCTAGCCAAGTAATTGGTACACTAAATATTGGTTTATAGTGGATAAGTTATTATGTGTAAAGAATTGAAAATTTAAGCAGTTGGTGAAAGATTGTTAATAATTATCCATTTGATTACTGATAAAGTTTATTCATATGGTTTAGTGTTAAGTAATCTGAGGCGGCAAACAGTAACTAACCACATAGAACTTGTCACTAAGGTTTACTGGTATCGTCTATTGTTACTGTGGGAAATGCTACCATTGATTTAGATAATTTAAGGCTGATTTGCTATAGAGAACTAAGGTGTTGACTTTAATCGGTCACTTTGTAATGGCTAACATCATATCTTTTAGTTCTTAATTTTGATTAAATTCTATCACTCACATTGTAATGAATCATTTAGGAAAATATACTCGACGTGGCGGTACTTACTTACCTTTTAAGCAAAGTAACTTTATGAATGATGCTTCCAAATTACCTCACATTTACTACTTTTAACTGGCCTACATACCTGCTTTATACCATATTCTAATTAACACTATCCTATAAGTATCGTGACATTATGTATAATTTTTTTCTAAAAAATAACCGTTATAAATAATTCAGCCCGTATGTTGATGATGAAAATTACCGTTAATGGATAAGCCTTAGGTAACGATTACTATTCTTGGTTATTTGAAATGTTGAATAAATGCAACAGATAATGTCCGGCTTTTTGGCTATTTTTCAACATTCAACGCCAATGAAACCCACTTGTAGAATTTTTTTGAATGAACGGTAGTATTTGTTAACAATATTAGATTACTACACTAACAAACTTGATGCTACTTTTGATGCAATATCATTTGCCAGTGTCGTTAAGACGAACAAATGATGGCCTGCAATAAAACAACCGGTTTCTGAATACATATACTAATAGTGTCGGTTGCTATGTTAAACCCACACAACTTATTCTAGCTTTCGGACAGATCAGTTTATTTTCATTCTTCCTGAGTAACATTTTGACTTAGCCAATTATTTACTTATCAACTTTTATATGAGCGTATGTGTGTGCACTTCTTATCCTATTCATAACATCTTTGTAACTTATTCTTGTTCAACTATAAATATCGATTCACGCTTGGCTAAATTTGAGTTGGCTCAATCGTCTTCTCCACTGCGCGTTCTTTAGCTTCTCTTCTCACGAAGCACTGGACGATGGGGCGGACAACATCACAAAAGTTTAATACGGCTTTTCTTCAGAATGCTAACTGACTCAAGGAATCCAAGATAGACCTCAGTAACATGTTCCATAGAGAACAACTGGAAAGGGATAAAAGGAGGCAATTACTTAAACATGTCATGAGGTTCTGGGCCACAAGAAGCACGATCACAAGGAACGGACCACTGTTGATCCCCTGGATAAGACTCAAGAAATGAGGAACAAGAAGGCAACTATCAATATCAACCGAACAAGAGCAGAGAAAGCCAAGGCGCAAGCTGAATACACAGGAGCAAACAAGCAAGTGATGGGAAGCATTAGAATCGACAAACGTAAATATATGGAAGATCTAGCAATAACGGTGGAAAAGGCTGCAAGAGAAGGAAACATGAGACATTTATATGATACAACAAAGAAGCTCGCTGGAAATTAACATAAACCAGGACGGCCAGTGAAAAGCAAAGAAGGCGAAGTAATAAGCAACCTTGAAAAACAGCGAAACAGGTGGGTACAATACTTCAAAGAACTCTTGAATCGACCAGCTCCACTGAATCCACCAACATTTAAGTAGCACCCAATGACCTCCCAATCGATTTTGGACCACCAGATCAGCATGGCCATCAGAAAAATCAAGAGCGGCAAAGCAGCAGGACCAGACAACATTCCAACAGAGGTACTGAAAGCAGATGTAGCAGTATTTGCAAGGATACTCCACACTCTCTTAAGTAAGATTTGAGATGAAGAACAAGTACCAACAGACTGGAAAGAAGGACACCTGATCGGGATTCCAAAGAAAGGCGATCTCAGCAACTGTGAGAACTACAGTGGCATCACTCTTCTCTCAATACCAGGAAAGTCTTCAACAGGGTGTTATTAAACAGAATGAATGACTCCGTAGATGTCCAACTTCGAGACCAACTGGCTGGATTCCATAAGGATTGATCGTGTGCCGACTAAATCGTAACAATACGAATCACTGTGGAACAATCAGTTGAATGGAATTCATCACTCTGCATGAACATCATTGAATACGAGAAAGCATTTGATAGCGTAGACAAGGCTTCTTCAAAACTACGACGTGCCTGAGAAGATAGTCAATATCATATAGAATTTCTATGATGGATTAAGCTGCAAAATCGTGCATGGTGGATAGCTGACAGACACCTTCGAAGTAAAGACCGAATTCAGGCAAAATTGCTTACTCTCACCCTTTTTCTTTCTCCTGATTGTCGACTGGATTATGAAGACGTCAACATCTTGGGGGAAGCACGGGATACATTGTACAGGTAGGATGCAGCTGGACGATCTAGACTTCGCAGATGATCTGGCTATTCTATCGCACACGCAACAACAGATGGAGGAGAAGGCGACCAGTGTAGCACTAGTAGGTCTCAATATACACGAAGGTAAAAGCAAGATTCTCCGATACAACACAGCACGCACCAATCGAATCATACTTGACGGTGATGCTTTGGACGATGTAAAAACCTTTACATATCTGGGAAGCATCATTGATGAGCACGGTGGATTAGATTCGGATGTGAAGGCGCTGATCGTCAAGGCAAGAACAGCACATCTACAACTGAAGAACATCTGGAATTTAAAACAACTGTCAACCAAAACCAAGGTCAGAATTTCCAGCATAAAGTCAAGACAGTTCTACTGTATGGGGTAGAAACTTAGAGAACTACGGAAGCCACCATCCAGAAGATAAAACTGTGTCACAAGGCAAGCCTGTAGTGTCGGTTATTATGTTAAACCCATATACCTTATTCTAGCTTTCGGACAGCCCATTCTATTCATTCTACTTGAGTCACATTCCGACCTTGTTATTTATTCGCTTACCAATCTTGACTGTTTTCTATATGAGCGCGTAGGTGTGTGTACATTCTTATCACATTACTCATCACATTTCTGTAACTTACTGTTGTGTAACTATAAATATTGATTAACGTTCGGTTAAAGGGGAGTTGGCTTACCAGCCATCTCTACTCCGTGTCGTTTCTCTTCTCTCTATTCATTTCGCTCCATATACAAAATATATGTATCCACAAGTCCATTCTCGTTATTTGACTTATTTGATTCTGTCACTGCCTAACGCGATTTAAATCGATGATTATATATGAGGATAGGCGATAACAAACGTTCATACGATCTAATTGGAGTCAGATCCACGGGCCACTAAAGTGGAGAGCCCTTTCGACAAAATCGTTCGATCTAAATGACGACAAAATCAAGGGCCCCACAAGCCCTCACTTGGAATCCTCAAGACCAAAGCAGGAGAGGAAGGTCAAAGAACACATTACGCCGAAAAATGGAGACAGATATGAATCGAATGAACAATAATTGAGAATGTTAGTCGGCCGGCATATGCTCCACTTAGGGTAACAGGCGTAAGCAATTATAATGTTTTCAACGATCCTTAAAGGTGGATCATTTAATGATCGAACTTTCAGCAAATATTAATGTTTTAATAAATATTTCAATCGGCAAAGTCAACTAATTTCTCGTTTTATTCTCTCAATAAATTTATCTGAACATTTTTAGATGATCAAACGCGAGTGAAGTTAAATCCACTTCAAAAAAGCAAACAGGTAATTTATTTTTCTCGATCTACTACTGTTTAATTAGTCCATATGAGCTGAGAAGAAATATACTTACGGTAAAAATTTACACAGCGCGTATTGGTTAGGAAAATAAAATCTGTTTATGAATAATAAAGGTAGTATAATCTATCGAGAGAAACTTGTCATTCGGAATATGATTTCACTTCGTTTTTAATACGTTTTTAATTATCTTTGTGAATTGATTATTACATAGACAGTTTTGATTATGGCCTTTTTAAAATTTGGTTAGCTCCAATTTGTATATACTAGTCGTTAATGCGACAACCCAAAAATTTTCCTCTTCGATTATGGACTATACTTTTTTGTGTAACAGTTGAGGGTTCCATTTATCTGACAAAACTGAACTGAGTGTAAAGTTTGAACATGGAATATAATGATTGAAGTTCTAGCAATTTAGTCACCTATTAGAAAAAAATTATGACATTTTGACTTGGTATTTAATGAATCGGCTTCATGTGGAAAGTCACCTACCTAATCAGTGTTGAGTTTAACTCATTCGAAGTTGTATCACCTTCTAGTCGATAATAAAACAAATCTATAAAAGTAACATGTTTCTATTCTAAGTTAATGAGACACTAATTTTATATCTACCTATCTTTTTTATGACTCGCACTACGTTACATATGAGAAAGTGTTCTTAATAGTGCAATACTTTCTACTCACTCAGAGAAAATCCAGAGATGTCGTCAAAAGTTTTTAAAGTTCTTGTCTATAATCTGTTATTGAGTGAATTTATGAATATAGTCTCTACATATAACACATGCGGAAATTTCTGGTTGGTAAAAGTGTGTGAATAACCTATTCCAAATTTGCTGACATTTCACCAAAAGCTGAGAAGGACGGAATACTGCATCTACTGGTCAAAACCCTTAAACTTCGCCTTTCCCTGAAAGAGCTGTCATTGTCAACAAATAATAATTCTATTATTACAGCGTCAAGCTTTTATTTTGAGGACTACGTGTAATGTTTTGAACGATAGATAGAACGGTAGAAAAAGTGTTTTACTAGTAGAAATAATTAGTGTTTTGAAGCTGATTGGATTGATATACTTTAAATTTACAAAACGTTTTTTGACCAAGGTTTATTTATTAATTGGACAGATTAGCAAATGAAATAAGGTAAACATACCATGATGATACTGGATATTTGTTACTCTCATATGGGAAAGCGATTGAAATTGAGAAATCAAATCTTTAGTTCATCATTCAATGGCTGGATTGTGTTTCGATCACTATGGTGTGTGTAGTGTTGAGTTTGATTTGTGTTGTGGACTGCGGGGTGGCTTCTCTAATTTCTACCGACTGACCAACTTCGGATATCCCAGTACGACCCCAATACTGTTCCTCAATCGCCAACATATCAGAACACGAACCGTAGATGAAATTGTTTATGGGGTCAAGAGAAGGATAAGAATAAGAATAGGAATAGAAATGATACTTTACAGACAAATGCATATTTATACAGTTAGGACTACCTTGAATATTGACCAACAGAAAAATGACACCATTTCACGTTTAAGGATATCATTAGACTTAACAGGATAATTTTTGGGATATTTTTCTGAATATCCCAACAATTCGGTTTGGATTATTCGTTGCAAACTGGTGGGCAATAGTTGTCCTTACGATTTCACACTGTTTCTTAGTCAAACTATTCTTACTGAGCTATTCGATTAGATATTTATTTAAAACAAATAATCCATTTTATAAATTTTGATAGAGCAGTGAGAAGACGGAGTTGATCTGAAAAATGTGAGATATTCGCTCTACACATTTTCTTCGGAAGTGAATAAACGAAAGATCTTAGTGTTGACTGACTTCTGCACCTGTTTATAAACTTTAACGGAGAAAAAAATTTATATCTATCTACCATATAGTACGGTTTTATGACAGAAATTGAAAGCAGTCATCGAGAAAACGTATTATGCTGCTAAACCGATTGTGATTAAAACGTTTAAGCTCATGATTCCAAATAGACCTAGACAGTATAACAGATGATTACGTCACACCCCATTGCATTTACCTGTTTACATGTTTGTGCGGACAAATATACGGAGGGAAGAGTAATCGAAAAATTCAATCAAGGGCCATGGAACATATCCCTAGATGGCTTCGAAACCAGTTAATGTCAAATGATCCAATAAACGTGGGAAATAGAAATCCATGTTCATCAATAGCGATGCACATAATTGAAACGGGGCACAAAATTGACATCAATACAGCTTTTGAAACGTTGTACAGAAGAAATTGTCAAGGATGTATTCTCAGGTTTATTGGCTATTCGTAAATTTAAACCGCTCTTGTATGTACAAAAACAATTTGTCGTATCCTTGAATTTACGCTGGTAATCCTTAAGTCATTTTATGGCCTAGGGTGATGCGACAATTTCTTATTCTTTCTATGTAAAAAACTTTATCTCCCCTTTATTAACTTGTTTTACATGAACTTTCATTTTACTGATTTTTATTAGTTTTCATATAAAATACCTTGACAAGTATGCGTTACCAGATTGTTCGAAATGTTTAGCGCAATGACATCACATTTTTCAGATCAACTCCCTCTTCTCATTGCTCTATCGAAATATTTATTTACTCAGTTTGCTTGATGTAGCTCAAATAAGCACATATGCACGAAGTTTCTTAATATATTTTGTCCACTTTATAGGAACACGATTATGTAAATGCAAGTTTTATTTATGAAATAATACCTTGTACAAGTGTTCACACACATCCCGTGCTAAACAGAAATAAAATAGAGTACATTGCATCACAGGCACCATTAGAATCAACAGTTGGTGATTTTTGGAGAATGATTCTGGATCAAAATATCACCATTATCGTTATGCTTACAAAGTGAGTGATTTTTAACAATATATGTGGTCTGTCCAACGATAATGCGAAATAATTTATTGAAATTTATAGTAAAATAAAAAGGCTCTCAGAAAATCCGTGGAATAGTGGGATTTATTTATAAAATTCACACATTGCTGGAAAACTGAATTTTTAAAAAAATTGTTTGGATACTATATATAAGTGAGAGAGTAGTTCGTTTCACGCTAAGTTATCAGTTTTCGCTTTTGGATTATCAGTCTTCATCGTAGCATCTATTCTGTAGTTAATTGTTCCAGTAATTTCACCTCCTTTGAAGAGAAGACTTAGGGAGCAGATTTTCTTTTCAACTGCATCATACTTATTACGTTCGTTAGTTCCAATATACAATTCAGCAAATAAATTCAGTTTCTATCTGATGCGAAAAACATGTTGATCATTTTGTTCATAAGAAAATTACACAATTGAAAATTTAGGATACTCAAACCATATAACAAATTAGTCAACCATGGGCTCCGAAATTTCATGGAATTCAAGAATAATATCAGTACTGTTCATATGAAAGTCGATGAAATAATGCCAAGTTTTGATGTTTCTTGCTTCTTTGCTGATATGCCTATCAATAGTGTTGGATGTTATTTATGGCTATTTAGAATCTGAAACATTTAAACTTACTATGCCTGTTAGATCATTCCGAGATCATTGAGTGTTTGTAATTGTGTTTTCATCTCATCATAATATGTGATCTTCAAAGACAAAGGTGGGTTTGCCAGTTCTACCGATTGCAGCGAATTCACTGGTGCATACGTTGGAAACCAGTGCGACCATGGAATATGTAATTACACTTTAAGTTTGGTTACGGCATGTAAATGACATATTTTCGTTATTAGGTGAGAGGATTCAGAAGAAATATTTGAATATGTAAACACGTAACACGTGGCCCAACCATCTCAGTCGATGAAGATTCACAACCTCATCAACTGATTTACCATCGTTCCCTAATACCCTGCGTCTAACCTTGCTACTACTAACTCGATGATCCCAGCAGATTCGAGCAATATTTCAAAGGCATCTGTGGTCGTATGCTAGTAACTTAAGAATATCTTCTACTCTTGATGGCCACTTTTAGTAGCCATAAAGTAGAACAGAACAAACTGCCACACGTTATACTCGCTCTTGATTTGATAGACGGATATTTCGTCTTCGCCATAGGTGACTTAAGTTGGCAAAAGCCAACCGAACTTTTCGAATCCATGCAGAGATTTCGTCAGACACCAACCCATTTCGGCTGATCAAACTTTCAAGATGAGTGAAGTTGTCGACGCGTTCGATTACTTCATCACTCCCTATCCTTAGTTCGGGTGTTGACGCAGGCCAGTCCTAAAGCAACAACTTGTATTTAGAAGGGGAGAAACCCATACCAAACATCCTGGAATAGTTTCTCAGTGCCCCCAAAAGACTGCATTTTATCAGCGTCTTCACCAAACACGTCTATGTCATCTGCATATTCTAAGTGGACAAGTGGACCTCCTGGTAGGAAATAAATTCCTGAAAATCCAGACGACGAGAACGTTATTTCCAGCAGTAGGTCTATCGTAAAACTAAACAGAAATGTAGATAGTGGAGAGCCTTGTCGGACACCACTTGAGGTTGCGAAATCAGATGACATTTCGCCATAAGCTCTGACTCGACTGGTAGTGTTCGAGTAAAGAGCCTTCACAAGGTTTATGTGCTTCTGAAGCACACCGTTCAATGACAGACATTGCCACAGAACCTTTCGGTCTACCGAATCAAATGCTGCTTTTAGTTCAAGAAAAGCTATCATTGTCGGAAGCCGGTAAGTATGCCTGTGTTCTAAAACCTGATGAATAGTGAATATGTTATCGATGCAGCCACGGTCAGGTCTGAGGCCGGCCTGATTTTCTCGTGTTTGAAGTTCACGAGTCTTAGATAGGCGACCGATAATTATTTATGCTAGTGTTTTAGATGCTATATTAGTCAAACTAATCCCTATGTGGTTATCAAAGGATGATTTTGACCCCTTCTTATATATTGGGACGATAAGTGATTGTGACCAGTCAGGTGAGATAACGTCTAACTCCTAGATCTTAGCTAAAATATTAGTCAACCTAATCGCTAAAATTGGACCACCATCCTTAAAGACCTCTGGAACCAATCCATCTGGACCAGCTGCTCTTACTCGTTCCAGTTTAACTATAGACTTTCGAACTTCTGCTAGAGTTGGGGGACCTACTTCAATGTTCCATTCACACTGTCTGGGAATGAAGGGTAGTTGTAGAGTAGCTGAAGGCCAGATGAAGTGGTACTTAAAATGTTCCACCCATCGTTCTAAACGTCTGGACTGAGAGCAGATAAGAGTGTCGTCTTTTTCCGAGATAGTTTCACTTACACTTGACTTAATAATTCCAATTTCTTTTTTTAGTCTGAAGATCTGTCTTGTTTTACCTACAGCCGCCACCTTTTCCATTTTTTTTGCTTTCGTTGCCTACCACTGCTCACGGTCGTTCCTTAGACTTTTGGTTAACCAAGATCTGATTTGTTTTCGCTCTTCATCATGTTCAGAGCCTGATGTGATGAGTTTACGAGAATCCATCAGTACAATAGACCTTGAGGAAATCGATTGGTTCTTTGTAACCCTGTGTTTAAATCACTGACAGATGTCACTGCTGTTTCCACAGCTGTTTGTATATCTTTCCAAGCATACCTGAGTCAGCCTCGTTTTCAGAACTACCTAAGTGTGAACCCAGTTGTTCCTGGAATCTGCTTTCGGCTTCCCCGTCACTCAGTTCAATTCTAATGGGTCTTCTTAGTGTGACTTTTCTGCGTCCAGTAAGGTTCAAGCAGATGCATGTCCGTATTAGAGCATGGTCGGAGTCAAAGCACGTGCTCCAGAATGGGCGACAATCTTCGATCGACCCTCTCCAACGAAGACTGATGGCAACATGGTCTACTTGAGTTCATCGTTGGTTTGATGCAGGGAGTCGCCATGTTAGACAATGTCTCTCCTTATGTTTAAAATTAGTGCTTGCTAAAAATAAACGATTGTCTGAGCATAGTTGCAACAGACGATCAACATTATCTGTTCGCTGAGCTGGAATACTAAAATGCACACCTAAATGCCTTTCTGTTTGGTTTAAGCTACCTATCTGGGCATTAAAGTCACCTGCTACGAGTACTAAGTCTGAACGTGTAGCTTTTTGAAGAAGTCCAGATAGCTTTCTGTAAAATTCATCTTTCACTTCATCCGAGCTGCAGTTGGTGGGAGCGTAGGCAAAAACGACAAAAAGGCAACGACGTGTGTCCCTATCCTTCCGAGTTCTGGCGTAGCTGTTTAGCCGAACAGCACATAGTTGACTGTTAACGAGGATTCACTCTAACAGTGCTCGTTCCACCCTCATGCTTAGTGCTATGTCTACACCTGCCAGTCCACGAGAAGTAGCCATCGGGTCACCAGATACACGGAGGGTGTATCTCGTTGGCTTACCGTTTTGCCGAGGTGACGTCAAGTGTATGTTCACACTGGGATCCTGTATGCGTGTTTCAGAGACACAGCATACATCAATGGTACGAGATTCTAGGGTTCTAGCCAAGGAGGCTTGCTGGTCGATCTGGCATAGGGTGCGTACGTTGAAGGCTCCAATGTGTAGTTTGGTGCGAGGTTTAACTAGATCAGGGACAGTGTTTTGAGCACTAGAATCGTTGGCTATGGTGAGACTTGAGGAGGAAGCCAAAAGAGGAAGTTTAGAGTTGAGCGAGGTGGTCCATAGCCGTTCCGTTAAAAGACATGTCGACATCAACAGTGGAAAAGAAATTAGCGAAACACTGGATTACAAACTTCGGTGTTCCTACAACAGTTACAACCGACCGTGGAGCTCAGTTTGAAAGCAAACGATTTCAGCAACTTACAGATACTTTTGGTATAAAGAGGATTAGAACCACTGCCTCTAAACATCAATCCTTTTTTAGACTTTTTGGTTATGGAACTGACTGAGTTATTTATAAAGGTCTGGTTATTAGAGTGTTCCAACATCGTAGAATAAGTCGGTGGCTGTCCCTATCTTTAAGAAGGGTCCAATTCACCTATCCAACAACCATTCGGAGATAAGTATACTTCCGATTTCGTCCAACCTATTGGGTTCCGTCATACTTCGGAGATTGTCCAAAACCCGAGAAAGATTGACTCGCGAGGAGCAGGCTGGTTTTCTTTCTGATTGAGAATGTATTGATCATATCTTCATCAGCCACCAAATGTCACACTTATCACAGGCCAACAGTCATAGTGTTTCTTGACATCGGGATTGCCTTCAATTCGTTGTATAGGTCTGTACTATGGTATTGTCTATTGAAGAAGAGTGTGTCTGAGAAGTTTATTAACATCCTAAAAATCCTATATACTAACACCTCAGGTAGATTGAGGGCATACAACCACCTCTCTCCATCGTTCCACTTAAGCAGTGGGGTTAGACAGGGTTGCCCATCTCACCATTCCTCTTGAACTTTGCCATCGATGATATTCTCGAAACAGCCCTGATGTATGTAAGTAATGGCGGTGTGGATCTGTTGCCTGGAGAAAGACTTTTCGACCTTGAGTATACGGATGATATTGCCTTACCACGCGATGATACACATATCATGCAATCGGCACTTAATCAGTTGGCAATTAGTGTCCGTAAGTATGGTATGTGCTTTGCACCTTTGAAGTGTAAAGTACCTTTACAAGACTGGCAAGACACTGATCATATACTCACCCTGGATAGTGAGCAGATAGAAGTAGTTGAGAAGTTCGTGTATCTGGATAGCTGCATAAGTGCTGGTGGAGGTGTGAGTGATGAGATCAATGCACGTATGGTGAATGCCAAAGCGGCTTATGCTAATGTAGGCCATCTTTGGCGCCTTCGTGATGTTAGTCTGAATGTAATGGTCGGATCTACAATGTGTCGGTGAGAGCAGTTTTGCTCTATGCTTGTGAAACCTGGCCTCTACGGATTGAGAATGTAGACAACTCTATGTTTGATCATCGTTTTCTCCGAAGGGTTGCTGACATCCAGTGGCAATACCATGTCAGTAATGCAGGAATTCATCATCGTGTGTTTGTGTGCAGAGACGATAATTCAATTGGTGTCACTATCTTGGAACATCGACTTCGATGGCTTGGACATGTTCCACGAATGACATTCTGGAGAATTCCTCGTCGTGCATTATTTGTTTACTTTGGGACTGGTTGGAAAAATCGGAGAGGTGGTCAGTTTATGACATGGTGTTGTGGTATGAAAGAAAGCTGTACGGGACTGGCTTCTGTTTGTCCTTCACAACTCTCTGGTTGAGATCCTATCGATGATGCAACACAGTGGCTTGAGACGTTATTATGCATTGCTCATTATATCGTTCTCCTTGTTCTTATACGCACTTCACGTTCTCATTGTTATTATGTAGTGCATATGTATTTAGTGCTCCTTTGTATCATTATTTATTTGTTCAAATAGATAAATCTACACTAGTCATTCTATTTCTGTCAAACTATGATTTCAAATAATTACGAATGCTCTTACGATGTATGTCCATTTTACATGGTTACTGATTTTGCGAACTGAAGACATTTTTGTATTTCTATTCTTTTCACTCACTGATATTGTTATATTTAGTCAAACAAAGATGATGATGTTATCTTATCAACATCAAAATAATTGTTCGTTGTATGGCGAAAACAATAAACTGTCTGATATTTCCATAGTTGATTGTCTTGTGACTAAGTTGACATCAAAACCTTGGATGATTGCATACCATTACGCATGGTGAATATCACTAATCCTTTAGTTATTTAATAAATAATAAAACCAAGTCCAGTATTCTATTCTATGACAATGAGCTCATTATTTTCATCATCAATTAATATTAGCTGAAGAACGATCGGAGGTCATACAACACTGAACAGCTGTTTCGTTTTAATATTTTACTTCTTATCCATATACACTTCATTAGATCCTGTTGACTCAAAAGCTATGGGCTCTATAATCGGTTTCATAATAAACTGTTAAAGTTCATAATTGCGATCTTCGTTGAACTAGACAAAATCTACATAAATAAATTTTCTTTACTTCAAAACTTTATGTTACTTTTTCTTGGTTAATTGTTTCTATAGATTATATGAAGACAATATATCAAAATGTTGTCAGTATTGGCCAAATGATATTCATGAATCATTAACATTCCAGTCAGATTGCTTGAGATTAGAAGTGACATTATTATCTGAAGAAGATCATCATATATACATTTTACGTAAACTATACATTACTTCTGTATGTGTATATTTGATTCTACACTTTTACATTCTTGCTTTTTATGTTTATTTAAGCTTAAATGAAATACTAATCACTGGATTCCTACTCAATACTTGAAATATGAAATCCTCATCAAGTGATAACAGGGGCTCACACTATTGAGGACTGTCAAAGTAAAACTTAATGGATTCCTAGTGAATTCTGTTCTTCAGAGATCCGCTAGTTAAAATCTGTTCATAATAAAAACTTTCTTGATAAAGAAAATCAATTACAAATCTGTTAGGTTAGTCCCAGCGTATGTACTCCGATTCAAGTTGCCATGACGCATTATCACAGAGAAATGAAATTGCTAGACCAAATTTCGTGGATTCGTTGAAGTTAGACATTAAATCGGTTGGATGCCGGTTCAGTGGTCTAGAGATTAGGCGTTTGCGGGCGAGACCTTTGGTCCTGTGTTCGAATCCCTTGTACGGAATCATGGATGCGCACTGCTGAGGAGTCCCATACTAGTGCGAAACGGCCGTTCAGTGCTTCCAGGTTTTCAATGGTGGTCTAACGTCAATCGATTCATGATCTCAATCAAAAACTGAACAATCTCCACAACCCCATACTGATAAATCCCAGAATATTAGAGATAGCAAAAGTTCCAGTGCTAATGGGAAAGACTAGATATCGATGATGCGATTCATGAAGAAAATACAAATATGTGAAATAACGAAAATCACGAGGAATCCAGGAGCTCAGAATTTGGGTAAACAAAAGACGGATGAATCAGAGCCATTACAAATGATTTGGAGCCATGTCATTCAATGAATCTAACCATTGGTTATGATAAACACGTGGACTACAACTGGGTGGTGGTCTATACCTACTGACATGGCTGAATCCAATTGTCTACAAATCGGTGAACTGATGGCATCTTTCATTTTGGCCGCTTCAAGCTTTCTCTAAACATAATATTACAAGAGCGAACATGGCTCATAAAGGTAGACGGCACTTGAGCATACGTAACACATATCCCAACCACCCTAGATGTTGAAGATTCACTACTTCTTCAATCGATTTCCCATACTCACCAAGTGCTATGTTTCTAACCTAGATATGGCTTACTTCGTGGTTCCAAAATACAAGAGCTTTGTAGACCGCTATGGTTGGATACTTGTAACCTACGAATATCCTCTTTTCTCAATGACCATGTTTCACATGCATAAATTAGAACATGCTGTATGTTGTGTGGCAAACTCGCTCTTTTGTTGGAAAATGGATATCTCACAATTGGCGCAAGTTGGCAAAAGCCAGTCGAGTCTTCAGAATCCGTGCCGAGATTTTGTCAGACACCAGACCATCAGTACTGGTAAGATTCCCAAAATAAATGAAACAGTCGGCATGCCCAAGTACTTTATTGGATATCATTAACTTAGGCTCTAACCCAAGCTAATCCTAAAGCAACATTTTTCGTTTGGAGGGAGAGAATTGCATATCAAACATGCTTATACTGTTGCTTAAGGTGGTCAAGAGACTGTCTTTTGTCAGCGTTTTCAACAAAGAAAACTATATCATTTGCACATTCTAAGTGAACAAGTGAATCTCCTGATAGGAGATCAATCCCTAAAAGGTCAGATGATGAAAATGTTATCTCTTAGAGAATTTCTACTAAAGCCAAATAAAAATAATACGACTGCGCCCTCAGACCTTAAGTTGCTGGTTTTAGTCTTGCCGTTCTTCAACTGACCTGCCTGATATTGTGGTGTGGAATGTGGTACTTAAACGGACGGATATTAATAGTATTGATCAAGATTTTGAAGTAGGATTTTACTGATGGGAGAGGAACGTGAGGATAGGAGTAAGAAACGAACAAACATCTTGAGCAGAGATTATGTTCGCTACCAGTGGAATCCAGGACGCGCGTTCCGTTCTATATAGGAATCGTCAGCTGGATGTACCCGCATTCCAGCGTTGATGCACACTCCGGTACTCGGACCCAGTACCGTTCGCTTATCAACTTTGTGATGCAGGTACGTCTAGTTGACGAGCCCCAAACAGGACTAAACGCACGTGATGATTTTACTGCTATGCTTGTAATACTTGTGACTGAAGGCAATATCGAGGTACTACTCACAGGATGTATATATGCCAATAAGAGACTGATCAATTGCAGTCCTAAATATCAATGGGAAGATCCATGTAACCAACACAAAAATGAAAAGAAGAAGCAGTTTGAGTAGCAACTGGAATGAAAAAACAATAGAGTATGTATGAGACAATTTAAAGATGTTCAAATGGTGTATTTAACCTACTGTTTTCATATTTTACAAATGCACTATGTGGTTCTGCTAAATATAATAAATTGGTTTACCACTCAAGACTTCGTTCATTACAGTAGGATCTAGAAGAACATGTGTTCCAGCCAATACAGTTCGGTTTAGTCATCACAACAGACAAACTTGACCATCACGTCAAGGTATTAGCTACAGTATCTTTATTTGATTGTACCACCAAATGTCGTGGTTTGAACTATGTGATTTTTATGGATATGAAAGTAAACTTAAGTACGATTAAATATTTTATTTAAGCACATTAACTTTGGTACAAGAGGGCACCAATTACATATGCGCCACACAATAACAATCAGAATATAAAGACACATATAATGTAAAGTGCGTATGATAACATGTAATGCACGACGTGGAATTCTCTGGAATGACACTAGTAAGACATGTCCAAGCCACCGAAGTCGATGTTTCAAGATAGTGACGCGAATTGAATTATCATTTCTGCACCCAAACACACGATGGCGAACTCCTGCATTACTGACATGGTATTGCCACTGGATGTCAGCAATCCTTCGGAGAAAACGATGATCAAACACAGAGTTTTCTAAACTCTCAATCCGTAGAGGCCAGGTTTCACGAGCATAGAGCAAAACTGCTCTCACCGACACATTGTAGATCCGACCATTACATTCAGACTAACATCACGAAGGCGCCAAAGATGGCCTACATTGGCGTAAGTCGATCTGGAGGACTTCCGCCTCGTTTAGTCGATCAGTCGTCACGGGTCATGGGGGTAGGAAAGTCTGGTCGATGTTGCTGGGACTGCAGACCAGTTGAACTGCTCCTCAAAAAACTCTACCCATTGTCCAGAACGTCAATAAATGCTACTGATTGGCATCCCGCCACCTTCACAGATTGTTTCACTCACACCAGAGTTCTTGCTCCTAGTGACTCGGATGAGTTGAACGAGCTTCCAGCAGTTACCAGATGCAGTTGCTGCTTCACAATTTCATTTCGTAAATCTTTGTTTGCGGTCAAACTCGCAATCACCCGGAGCAGACCGACGGGCTCCATCGGTTTGTAAGGAGCCTGAAGAAACCCAGTGCTTATGAGTGACTTGACATTTTCATGACATTATGCATTTTCAACCAATGCTCATCCATAGTTTTCGGTGAGATGGTAGATAGCCTCAAACCTATCTCGGTTTGATATTTAGTTACAACAGAAGCTGCAACCCATTTACTGACATCGATTTGTTTAGGACGATGAATCTGTTGGCCAGTGAATAGCAAGGTAAGATTAGCGCAAACAAGGGCATGATCAGAGTCCAGATAGGTACTCCAAAAGGAGTGTCAGTCTTGTACACAACCACGCCTCTGGTAGCTGACCACGATGTGGTCAATCTGAGTTCAGGCTTGAGATGCAGAGGGAGGACGCCAGGTGGCACATCGGCGATGACTGTGCCGGTAGTTAGTGCTAGCCAGAAACAGGTTGTGGTCTGTGCACAGTTGCAGTAGACGGTCCCCGTTATCTAACCTGCGACCAACGAGTCCCCATCGGCTACCTAAACGACTCCCTTCTGTGCCTAGACGCCCGAATTGAACTTTCAAGTCTCCGTCTAGTATTACAATGTCTATCGGGCACACTTTCTGAAGAGGAACAGTTAACTGGTGGTAAAACTCATCCTTGATCGCATCCGGGCTGCAATCTGTCGGAGCATAGGTGGAGATGACGAAAAGACATCGTTTCTCACGCCGATTTCTCCTCACTTTGATGGAAATTTCTAATATAACAGCACATAACCGACTGTTAATGGGGATCCAATCGATTAGTGCTGCCTCAGCTCTGGCATTTAGTGTGACACCAACGCCAGCAAAACCAGACGAAGATGCCACAGGGTCCCCGGATAAGCACACGTAAAATAAACATTTTGAAGCGACAGATGGAGAGCTAATTTGTAGTACTTCACTAGTCCTAAACGCGGGTCACGGACTAACAGGCATCTAAAGACAGCCAAACCTATCCGTTGTCCGATCTGCATTAGTGTGTGAACGTTGAAGGAAGCCAGTTTGAATGGTATACGTGGTTTCAGAAAGAATTTCAGTATTCTTAGTCGGTGGTAGCATTCAACTTTCGACCAGTCAGTGATTCGAGATTGTTTAGATAGGACAGAATTTCCACCATAGGCGAGCTTCGGTATAAGTTGGAAAATAAGAGTACACAAAGTGAAAATAGAAGAGAGTAGATAAGCGACGTAGTATATAAAGAAAGATAAAGAATGTTATCAAATGATTGTCAATGTGATTTACCTGAATGCTAATTGATGCAAGAATATTTCCAGTAGTAATCGTCATTTGATTCGCGTGTGGGCTGTGATACTGCCCGGGTGTTCAAACCGAAGCAGGTGGTGTTTTCGGGGGGCCACACCCGGAGCGTTTGACCTTAAGGTATAATCCGTAAGGCAGTGGGGCAACATTAGGAGATTCAGTGCCACGGCAGTCGGTGACCAACAATCGGTTCCTACTCCGTTTGTTACCTCGGAATCCTGGAGCCCATGTGTACCATTGGTTTGGAATCAGGTTATTCCAACTACCCTAGATGGATTCTCTGTACCTACCAACCAGGTTAAAGCGCCAGACATTCGCTTTTCGTCCTCCCAATTTCGTAAACAACGTCCCCTCCTCGAGAAGACATTGAGTAGGACTTCTTTGACAGTGGCTCTGTAGGCGTGACCATATGAGAGCATTTCGAGATGGAGACCGGACTCTCCCCATCCTCAGCCATACCAGGGCATTTGAGGGCAAAGGCGCTCCTGCGCCAGGACTCGAATCCGGGCCGCATGGATGAGAGCCATGAATCCTAGATTTGCTAGATTTGGGTTTACAAACAGGATAAACAAATGGAGGTTACAACATACGTAGAGTTATGAGTATATTTTTACTCGATGATGTAATGAATTAATCAAAAATTTTGTTTTAAATGACAGACCTAGAGACCCAAGTTTTATTATTTCAACGTAGCGGCAAAACAGTTGTCCAGCATTTTGAGGATATTTTAAAGGAGTTCGGACCTTAAGTAATATTTATCTCAACCAGAAATATGTTTGTCATGAGCGTATTTTCTTATCTATACTTTTCACCGCTTTTATGTTTATTTATCTATCGTCTTTAGTGACATGTTAGTATGTATTATATCAGAACATATACAAACTTCATAGTACCAAGGAATCTGAGCACTATACTAACTAGTTATCTACCAATCGACCCTATGGAATAGACAATATAACGTTATTTGCTACTATTTTAAACATTTTTATAAACTTGACTACATTTAAGTCGAATACAAACCCAGTCACTCCATTTGAGTTAACCACTTAAGATTTCACCGGGATTAGCGTTGTTTTCATCAGTAATGAGATCCATTTATTATTTTTTAACTTGTAGCAATTGATCCGACAGTCATTTTCAATGGGTCTAAAGCCCTAACAAATCTATCTTCAAATTTTAAAGTCATAAAACAAATATTACTATAACTTTTAATGCTTAACATCATTGTTTTATTCTCACTGTGATATCTGGTTAGATAAATTGAGAAAAACGGGTTTATATTTTTGGTTCAAATGAGGTTTTAATTAAGAGGCTTTTTTGAATTTATATGTTCCTTTTTCTTTCACCAGTCATCATGGTGCTTACGTCGTTCCACCGTACCGATCTCATTTACTAATATTCATCACTCCAGCCTTCAAATATTTTACTCTGAAAATAGTACTTGGTAAATAAATTAATTACTTAGCCACTATGATCAAATTGATCATTATTTCATCTTATTTCATCTTGTTAATTACCTCTCTTTTTATTGTGAAATATGGTATCTCGAGTCAATGATCACATTAATAGCGTCGTACAGTGATTAAATCAATGCTTTGCAACCTAGAAAGCGCCCATTGTATGATTGTCTGTCAGATATAAAATATTTAGCTTAAATTGTTGAAGAGATTTTGTGAAGGTTGGTTTACATTCATAACAAATTGACCTCATTCAAAGTTCCGTTACAAACTAGGCAGCAGTTAACAGCTATTTCGTCCTAGTACCAAAATCCCGTACGACAAAAGCCATCCACTGCATTCATATTTTTTTCGATGTATATTTTCTGGTAGAACAAGACACCGATAAAATAGAATCTATGCACATAGGCAAATGTATAAGAGCTCTACATATCGTATCTAACAAATATACTATGTGACGAATAAGTTTTATGGGCTGACCTAGTCAAAAACTTGTATTTTTGAACACGTTGCTTGTTAAGATTTGTATAGATTATTACCTTGAAACATTTCATTTAATTTCAAATAGTTTATTTTCTTATTTCAGGTATACATGTATTCAGTAATCGATTTTTTTTGTAAAAGAAACTTGCTGAAATAGTTCGTGCTGCGAATGCTACATCATAATAAACACATAGTACTGAATAAAGCCATTAATAATGATAATAACTGATAAAGTCTGGACATATCCAAAGTAAAGCAGTCGTCATCAGTGGGATTTGATGTTCGTTTCGCTTTATTATGAGCCGATGCAAGTTAGAATTTTCAGCCAAGTGGTCTGCTGGTTAACCATATAATATGAAAGTCTTAAGTACAACCTCTGGAAGTGTCTTCACTGTCCACAATCCAGGAATTCCATACACAAGAAAAACATGAACTCAATACACACTGACATTTGACAGTATACTAAATGAGGTCAATCTGTAACAACTACTACCGACAAATTTACTCCAAATGTTTACTATTTCCAACCACTGAACAATATAAATAAGTCTATAGTTGTAGTAGTGAACTTAATATAATAAACTTGAATCTGTGTGATTGTTATCTATCGTAAATTATAAATCGAGCTTCACGTAACAACTATGTCATATTATTTAAGTCTTTAGAATCGAATTCAACAAAGGATTTTACCATAGAAAGTTCGTAGTGAAATTAAGACTATTGCGTGCAACTAATTGTCTCGTATTCTACGATCTTTCAGTAACTATTCAAACAAAATTAAATCATGCTTATGTAGTCATTATTTATTTGCAGAGTTGACTTGATGGTGAAACAATTTAAATAATAAACAATTTTTCTTATGATTTTCTCCATAAGATTAACAATCAGTCAAATAACCCAGAAAATTCCAAATATGTTGTACAGTTGCATATGACGACTTGGCCAGACTTTGATGTACCAAATCTAAGTGAATTTCAAACATTTATGAAAGATTACCGTGAATTAAAGTGTGCAGAGTCACATCGATATTCTCCAACTCTTGTGCATTGCACGTAAGTAATCAAGGTTTCCAATTTATGTTGCTGTTCTTAATAGCATATTCTATAACTAGATTTTTGATAATGGGAGGTCGCTAAAATAGTACTGGATAGCATTCATTGTTATTCCTTCCTTCTTTGTTTCAAAGAATGCTTTGATGACACTGGATCTATGAGGTTTCCTCCTTACAAGCGATTTTTGTTCCTTTTTGGACAGCAGCAGTGCAAGTCTTTATATGTGATTAAATTAAAAATAAATTTCATTAGCGTAGATTTGAGGAAACGCATATATATATATATATATATATATATATATATATATATATATATATATATATATATATATAATGATGAATAAAGCATTGAATCGGATATAACACATTTATCCTTTGTAGTTTTCAATTAGATCACTGATTGATTTATATCTCTTCGAGCATGTAGGTAACACCAACACTCCTTGCTCTTAAAGCATAACACAAGGCTGATTATATGTACATTCGCTTCGTAAGTGATAATCTGATAAAATTGATTCATCAGTTACTTGAGTAGAATGTGTAGATTAATTCAGGATGAAAGTGGTTTTCACACAGGAATAATTTATGTTGATAAGAGCAACGAAAATTAGGAGGACTGAGCAGCTGCAGTTTTAGTATGAGACTCCTTATCAGTATACACCTGTAATCTCTAGGGATCGAACTTCAAGCTTAGGATTCATGAAGTATACGTTACTTACGAAATAGTTTTTTTCCTCCCTAACGGTGTGTGTTCACTGCCCATTCCAAATCAAACCTAGGCCTCTGAGCAAAATATCATTCGGTTGATAAGTTAGTAGAAAAAACCTTTTACCGATTCTCACCTAAAGTTGTTTCAAAACCTTTTTCATATCGAATATATATACATATGTAAATTGACTTTTTACTTAAAAATAACAGGGCTGGTGTTGGTAGAACTGGTACGTTTATTGTTGCTGATTTATTACAAATCTATAAAGAATCCAATTGTGTTTATTATGATATACCTGGTATCATTTTACAAATGAGACGATGTCGTCCATCGATGGTACAAAAAGTTGTAAGCACTTAATTTTATGTTAAAGTAATTGGTTCGGACTAAAAATAGTTTTCAAACAATTAAACTATATTTATTCAGTATAAATTTGTTAAACAGAAGCCGATCTTTATACTACTGTATGACACTCCTATTTACTACGAGCAGTTGTGCAATTGTCAAGTGTTCTGAGTGAATGGCAATATAATAAGTTGTTATGCCCAGAGCCGCCAATCAGAAGCAGCGAATTATCGATCGGACCGAGGACGCGTAAAACACGTGCGAGCAGCCTAGAGTCCTGATTGGTCCTGCTTTCCGCCTAGCCCAGCCAGTTAAGTCCAGAACACCAGTCTTACCCTCTGCAATATGAATCATGTCTATCAAACATACTCTGTTTAGATACCAATCAAACAGACCACAACGTACCAATAAAATATGAAACAACATTTGTACAAGAATTAGCCAGATGTGGCTGTGAATAATAAGAGGAATATGAATATGCAGAGTTTAGTTAATTAGTAATTATACAATAGAAATATACGTTTAGTATTGGTCCATCAATAGATTCCAAAAGTTACCATTCATTATTCGTGTCGGGACATAACATAAGTGTAGGATGATTTTCATCACAGAGTTATATTAGTTGGAGAACCGTTAAAAACTAGGAACCACTGAAGGACTATTACGTCATACTAATGGTTCCCTCAGCAGTGTTTAGTCATCATATCACACAAAACAAAACCAAAGTTTTTGGGGTCTCGTGTCAAACACCGTACTCTTAGGTCATTGAATCATCCTCCAACAGTTTACATTTAGAACTAATCATTATTCGAAACAGCTGTTCGACTCTTCCCGGTCTTGCAACTATTCTCTGGTTGATATCATTTTCTTGATGATAACCGCCTTCAATTTGTACTGAACTCATCAAAGCACCCAACCAACCAATAATCGTTTGATCGTTGGCTATTAGATTCCAGCTGGATTCCTAGTGTTCCAATGTGATGTTATGGTCACTAGGATTCAAGCATAACACTCGATGATAGTAGACAGTTCAGCGAACAATAGAAATAATAAGGTGAAATCGGGTGTGAGAAAAATAATCGTCCACTTGATGAATATGAAAAGGGCGAAGAATAAAGTAAAAACGTCAAGGTAATAATAACAAATAATTAAAGTCAAGAAGATTAAAACATTAGCAGGACATAATAAAATCGAACTACTATTTACCAAAATTATGCGTTAGCGCCATGACTTACCTGAGAAAATTGTCACTATCATACGGAATTCTTACGACAGACCCCACGGCAAAGTTGTGTGTGGCAGTCAACTGATAGATGCATTCCCAATGAATATCTATGTCAGGCAAGACTACTTACTCTCTCTTTTGTTGGAATAGTTGATGGAATTATGAAGACCTCTACATCTGAGAGAAAGCACGGAATACAATGGACAGCTTGGATACAACTAGACGATTCCGACTTTGCAGATGATCTGGCTTTTCTATCCCATTCACACGAACAAATGCAGATCAAGACAACCAGTGTAGCAGAAGCCTCTGCATCAGCAGGCCTCAACATACACAAAGGAAATCATACTTGATGGAGAAGCCGTGGAAGAGGTGGGAACTTACATACCTGGTCAGCATCATTGATAGGCACGGACGATCTGATGCAGATGTGAAGGCACTGATTGGCGAAATAGGGTTCATCATTCCTGCAATTGAAGAACATCTGGAACTCAAAATAAATCTCAGTCAATAACAAAATTATAATTTTCAACACAAACGTCAAGACAGCTTTTTGTACGGAGCTGTAACTTGGAAAACTACTACAACCATCATCAAAAAAGTGCAGGCATTTATAAAGAACTATCTAATTAGGTATTTAATCGTTCGCAAACAGATTCCAGGTTTGAAAATATTGTTTTACTAGGGTCTCTGAAGTGCAAAGGTTATTAATTTTCACTCCTTTTGAACTAAATCATCTGACTGTATAGACAGGTTTAACGTGGTTATCAGGTAAGGTCATGTGACTGGAGTTCACAAGATGTTCTAATATTGAGCTCTTGATTGACTTACATTTACCTTTCAAAAGAAAGCCGAAATAATGTTCGAACGTGCGTTTGGAAAGCGCTCGCATTGTGTGACTTATATAACCTCCTTTACATGAGCCAGTGAACTTATAAATACACATTGGTGTGGCCCAATGCGAGAGTTTGTTGTTTGACACATTTAGGAATTATTTGACGGCTGGAAGGGACAATGCGAAGCTTGGTGGCACAAGACGTTTTCCTCATATGTTCCGATAGACTGCATAAAAAATATTAATGCTTATCTTGTTATAAGAAATGTAGTTTTGCAACGGGATCCATTAACTATTGAAGTGAATCCTGTAGCCAGCATTACGGAAATGTTTTGATATCTGTGACACGCTTGGACAATCACCACTTTTAACCAAGTTGCTTCTCACACAAGAAAGAAGTTGTACAAATGATGAAAGCTTAGGGAAAGTAGATAGATACTTTACGCTAGTGTAGTACTCGTCAGCGGTGTCAAATTTGATTTGTTGGACAGGATCGTACTCTGGGGTTGTCTGCTGAAGAAAAGAGTGCCTGAAAAGCTTACTAACATCTTAAGCACTGTATACAAATACTTTAGTATAAAGCCACTTCTCTCCCTTGGTAAAACTCACCATATGTTAAAGTCGCTTATTCTCACTACTCTTCTTTAACCTTGCCATCGATGATACCCTAGGAACATCTCTGATAAAATTGGGCTATACTGGTGTGTTTCTGTCACCTGAGGAAATATCTTTCAAACCTGAGTATGTGGATGATATTTTCTGTGGGTGATACTTAAGTTGTGAAATGCACACTTATTCAGTTGGCGATGAGCGTCCGTAGGCTTGGCACGTAGTTCGTACCTTCTAAGTCCAAGGTACTTTTACAAGACTGATAGTGGTCTGTACCTATACTCAATGTTTTTGATGAGCTTTTAGAACTAGTCGAAAAGTTTGTTTATCTGGGTACCTGGTTGAGTGCGTGTGGTAACGTGAGTGATGAGATCATTATGCGTATAGTGAAAGTTAGAGAGGCTTATGCCAATCTAGGCCATGTTTGATTCCCTCATTACATAATTCTGGCTGTAAAAGGACAGATTTACAATGCGTCGGTGAGAGCAGTTTCATTCTATGCTTGCGAAACCTGTCATTTTTCAGCTGAAAATGTTAAGCGACTATCCGCGTTTAATTATCATTGTCTATGAAGGATTGCCGACATTCAGTGATAACGCCATGTTAGAAATGCAGAGGTTCAGAAGCATGTGTTCAGGCACAGTGACAGTGATGAAATTGGTGCCACCATCTTTTGTGTTACGGATGTTGTCCAAGAGAATTGCACATCGTGCATTATTTTCCGATTCTTCGACTGGTTGGTAAAAGGGGAAAGTTAATGAGTTCGTTACACTTTTGTGCAGTATGCAAGGGAATTGTACAGGAATGACATCTATCGGTTTTTCAGAATTCTCTGGTTGGGTTCCGAGATGTCGCTCACACCTGACAATAAAAGCTAGTGGCGATCTTGTCGTAATTTCGTTTTACTTCTTTCTAAATTACAATGATATTCTCTAACTGAAGGGATTTTTCTTGGTTATATATATATTTTTAAACTGAACTGTTTTATATGCGACTCTTAACGTACTTTTATTCATTTATTCTTTTGCGTTATACACATCCTCCATTCTTCACCCCTTCACAATCGCATTTCCTTATTTTATGGCATGCATTTGTTTTGGTGCTCATTTGGGGCTAATATCATGTACTTAAATAAATAAATAAACTCATGCACCCATATGGCATCGAATCCAGTACATGGAACCGCCGCAGCTAACACGATGCTGTTAAATCATTAAGTCACAATCTAGTTGTTTATATCTTTGAAAGTCAATCATTGCACAATATTATTAGGTTATATCTAACTGGCTGTCATCGGGAATGTATTCCATCAATAATATCTTCTGCATATGAAATCGTTCCAAAATTAATCACTAGTGACGAACCTGAGATTCTACCCTCAGTGAACTGCACTGTTGAAGAGTTTCAACTTAGGACGAAACAACAATTTAATATTTTCGTGTTTTTATTGGTTTTCTAGTTTGTGTTAATTGTGGATATCAAGCTGACTGTTCTCTGTTGTTTTACATCAATTTCAGGCGCAATATATATTTCTTCACCAGTTTGCTAATACATTATTTCAATGATATTAGTTTTTTTCTGAAAATATCAACAACTTTGAAATTTTATGTTTACTTCAAATGAAACTTATCATTGTGATCTCAAAAATTTCCGGTAAGTTCAAATTCTTATTATAAATAATAAATAACGTAACATTTATTTAATTACGTTCCTAGTTGTAAAAATGTGTTTGTATGTAATTGTAAGATGTTTAAATTTGGTCATAGTTACTTAGGAATAAAACTTGGTAGATTTTATTACTAATTTCTTTTCTTCATTCCTAATCATTAATATTAGTGATATTTGTGAGAAGTATGTCTCCAAAATTGTGTGACAAATTAACTGCTGGTTAGGACTCATTATCCGGATCTATGTCCAAATTCAAGGGAATGATGCTCCTTTGGAGACCTAAGCCAGAATCACAGACATTAACATTCAGCAATTCTAGCTAGTAGTGACCTTATGAATGATTGTGAATTACAAAATCATTAGTCACTGATCAATAGTTAATTTCGTGTCGTTTACATGATTAAATTCCGTCGGCTTTGTTTACTGTCGCAATGTTAAATGACTTGTGATTATGGTACATTGCGTTCCTTAGTATTCCAGATGCGCCTTGCTAAGGAGATTTGACCTAAATAAAACTTTGATCTACTGCTTTTCATGAACTATACTCGACCATCTAACGTTAAATACAGCGTACAATAATGTTACTCTTGTTAGTTGTAAAACGGAAAGAAATGAACGTTCAGTGTTTTTCAACTCATCAGACTTATATCATTCCGTAAAAGAACCCACCTTTAATTAAATAATTATTCACTAGTGTGTTACCAAGCCAAAAATAATCTTATTGAGGTTTTAAGAAAATCAACAAGTGAACGTCCTAAGTCTCTGTTTTTCATATTATTAACCCAACTTCCTTATATACGAGAAAACCTAAAAACTATGAATTCGCCTGCAACTTTGGAGATGCTGTTATTTAGGCCTGATCGTTTGTCTGGACATTTAAAGCGCTAAGATCTAAATAAGGGAATATATTTAAATTCAGATAATGCATAGGTGAACTAACTCATGAATTAGGTAATCGCCTTGAGAAACAGAATTCACTTAGCAATAACATTAAGTCAGTACTCCATCATGGCTTATTTGAATCCTTAATTGGTAGGATGTTTTTTCGGTATAACCAAGCTTGTTCCTTTTTCTCGTACTATAACGAAAATTAATTTGCTTTTCTATGTCTGATTTTTCCATAACCTACATTACTTACACAGATATTATCTTATACGTAGTTTGAAGTCATCGGTCCAAAGCCCTGGAGTTAGTTTCTGTGATATTTGACTCAAATTAGTCAGGTGTATCTGAAGACACTAATACTATTAGTAGAATTCAGACTAGTGCTAACCGGTGTCAAAGACGTTACAAGTGAGTTATCCGGGCCATAACAAACCGTTTTAGTACAGGAATAGTTGAACCAACTGACCATTAAATAATAACCCGATATCATGTTGTGCAGTACTTATGGTTGCATTCTAACAATATCGGGGGGAAAAGTCTTTTATAACTATTTTGTCAATACTGCACTGGAATACTCTAAGAGTAATAAAAGTTATCCATAGCTAGAGCATTGATAGTTTTGTAAAAATACCTACAAATAAACCAATTGAAACTTTTTTTCAGTCAACAGAACTACGATCTCAAAAGTGCCAAGTTTACATTTTCTGAAATGCTCGTTTGCTTTTTTCTGAACAAACAATTATGTGCGTTGTTACCACCGATCAAATGTTATTTTCCCTTATGAAATAAATGGTGCTACTTTGTCATACAAAACCTGGAAAAAGATTGCCGTCAGCATTCCATTCAACTGAACAGTATATTTTCCTTATTTTTTAAACTGTACTCTATTTAGTGTCGCTTTTAAATAAAATGTCAATATTTTCACCTTTAACATTTTATGATTTTAGCAATAATTCGTGCATTTAATTTCCCCCTTTCATCCTAACTAATGAATTGCGATGAGCCATAATTACTATTTTGATAATAGTAATTACTAAAAATAACATTGTTACTTCTGTCTTAACTTCTTTCTTCATTTTTTTCACCTATCAAACTGAATTCATTTAAATGTTTGTAGGAAGTAATTTCCTACAGGTGTAATTCTGAATTATTCTCTAGACTGTCGAGCACAGAGTCTTAGCTTAGACAAAGTCAAAACAACTAAGCTACTTGGCTCGATAAACTTTATCTGTTTCTAAAACGTAAATTAACACTGTTAGTATACAAAATAAACAATAAAGTCCATTAAACAGGGAAAAGGAGCGACATAAATAACATACTGAACACTAACTAGAGGATAGGGAAAGTTAGTCAACAAAGTGAATATTATCATCATAGTGGGGCTTTGTGGATATTATAGTATTGACGGATAATTCCCATTTAAACATTAGAATTAAAACACGAATTTCAGCGAAGGGATCTCTTTTCAACGAATTTATTATCAAGCTGTACAATCGTATATATATGAAATTTTTTTGTTTTTTGTAAAAGTACTAATTCCGTGAGGAAATGTGAACATAGTTAATAAAAAAAAGGGTTATAATACTAGATTACGTAATATGAATAATAACAATAACAATAGATTTAGTGAATATAATAAGATGATTAAAATGATTCAAATGTTTTTTTGTTATAATAATTAAAGGTCATAGAGTTGTAAAAATAAATATGGTGATATGATGAGTATTCACGAATAAAACAATGAGAATATAAGACATAAGTAAAGGGGAGAATGCAGTAATAATAATAATAATAATAATAATAATAATAATAATTGGGTAAGCAAAATGCTTAAAGCCAAGGTAACGATAACGATAAGACGTACTTCTTTTGTACGCATAGTTCTGGTTTAAGCTCCTGGATGGTAAGAGCTTCGGGTATTTTTAAAAGTTGGATGCGAAGAAATCTGGGTAGATTTGAACGAATCATACAAACAACCTTAAATTCATTTTTTGGATCTGTGGAATGGTTACAGTCGATTAGGTGTTCAAGTATAGAACTCCTAACTGCTTTCCTTTCACCCTTATAGAACCAAGCTAGGATATGTTCCCCTATCCGAGTTGGAAGCGAGCGCTGGCTACGGCCAATGTACCTTGCTCCACAAGAGCAGGTGAACTGGTAGATGCACATGGAGGCGACCAGACGCGGAAGCCTATCTTTTATGGATACAGAAAATAAGTTCCTACTAATGAAGGTTATTCGCAATTTAGCTGCATTAAATGTTAAAGGTGTGTAGAATATAATCTAAATCAATATTATTGTCACAAACGACAAACGTGTCGTTATTTCAATAGGTTTTCAGATTGACGTAAGTCTATAACAAAAACCATTTATGAATGTGGAACAAGTATAACAGATCACGTGAAATTGCGTTTGTTCACAATTAATTCAATCAAGTCATTTTATTAACATCTTAACGAACTGAGTCATCCTAACAACAACGTATGTATATCATTGTATCTTTATTACCAAGACAAACTGTTTACGAAGTTTAAGGATTATATCGAATACCGACCACCACACAAGATGAAACGAATTGGCTTTTAATATTCTTTTGAAGATGACTGACATATTCTTTCGTTTTTATTTTATTATGTTATTAGAAATTCTGACATTATATCAGAAATACACTCTTTACTTCATGTACTTATCAAATTTAGGCATATCACAGTCTTTTTTAATCTTCAAGAAACACAAACCGCAAACGAATGTATTGAAATTTATTATACGAAACTCAGAAAAAAAATTATATGCAGGATGCTGAGTATGACTTGCTAAGTTTCTGGAATATTTTAAACAGTACTTAGAGGTGTTATTCAAGAGGTCCACTTTGGTCACTTTAAGATACATTGGTAAAATGTACCTGGTTTTATTTGTTGTTCTTCATATTTAAGTTCAAAGATGATTCCCATCGCTTCAAATACTAAAGACTTGTCATATGCTGTAAATTTAAAATGATCTTACGAAATACTGCAAATCCTGAACTTCGAGAAGACAAATGAAAGCTCGAATCTGAAGTTGTTGTAATGTAAAACAGATTTAAGTGGATCACAAAATATTGAATTGTACAGTAAATGTATTACTTGTTTACCACAAATAGCCACCTATTCGTTCAGCGGTTATGGTATTTACTGATGATTGTAAAGAGTCTTTATTCAAACAGACTGGTTAAATCCAATTATAAATAATCATATCGAGCAAATACAAATTTCTTGTCAAACGATCATAGTACTTGTAATTTTACATGACTTATCAATTCTTGCTTTTTTAGAGTAGCTTATAAGATTAACTAAAGGAAAACAATAAAATCCTTTTACTCAGATTGAGTGATTAAACCTAACGTAGGCGATCATTAGGAAGCTATAGATGTAGACTTTGGGTTGGCTGGAGCGGATATCCTAACTCTACAAAGGGTTAATTGTAGTCTGAATAAGTTATTGATAGCGTCAATGACTGACATCGATTCAGAACTCTATAGAAACATTAGTTCCCTTAGAAATATATATGTGTTTAGCAAACGTGTGTCAACCACCATAAAACTTAGATCCGAGGCTTCCTACCAACAGCCTTTAATGATATTATATAAATGAAATGTTTAAGGTTTACATATATACTTATGACTTAAAATTCACATACTCCACATAACACTTAATCCCAAGCATAGTTAGCTCGTTTTGTATATCATTTTAAGCATAAACCTTAAACAATCGTTTTAAAAACTTTGTGATTTGGTGATTAATCATAATATTGGTGACTTCTAATTTTACTTCATGAACTCGTTTGCTACTTCAAGATATTTACTGGGGAGTTGAAGTCATCTAAATATACCTGTAGCTAACTCATTATATTATCTCGTCTGCATGATTTTCTGTGTAAATGTATCCACGTAATTATTGCTTTCATCATCAACAAATAGTGCTATAACTACACTTAACTTGAATTCACAGCATTCACATCATTTTAGTCTTCTATCTTATTGTTCCATTAGGTTACTTTTTTTCCTAGCATTTAATTGTATTTGATGTTATTCCTCGTTCATCTTCAACTTCTCTTTTGCTACGCTAATGTGAGGGGCATGGACTGGGATTAAAATGTCCTGAACTGTACAATAATTGTCAATGAATCACCAGATTTATTATAGACAAAAACAGTTTTAGAACGTTCGATGTATACGGTTTTCCTCTTTTTGATTTCTAAATAAACAAGTATAACTGGCGATGAATGATTTTTCTGTTTCTATTCGCAAAATGAATATGTACACAGTATTTTATCAGTTTTTAACTCTACATGAATGTCGATTTCTTTATCTGAATACAGAACATGAATGTAACGGCATTTGTCTCTAATATGCATTTAAAACGATCAAATTAACATAATAAATACAATAAAATGTTCAGCAACAACTAGGGCTCACATTTTATTATGGAAATAGACACAACCGAATATGGGCATCATTATCACCCAAAGACTATTCATTTACTTTAAGGTTACTGCAGTTTAGTGCTTAAATGTTTCAAAGCTGTTTCTCACTGAAGAACCATCATAGAATCAAACATCCCAACCGTCAGTGAAAAAAAACACGTGTTACATCAATTGAAGATATATATAGTAATTATACTAAAGTTTGATAGTCATTGACTGCATCATTGTACAGTTCATAATATTCCTTAATGAGATGTAGAAAAGGGACATCAATACCAACTGCTTCCTTCTGAAAGTTTTAAAACAATTATCACAAAATATCATATGTTTAATAAACGCGCGAAGAGATTTATGATGGTTTACGGTGAAACTTGAAGAAATGTCTGTAAAATATTCATGACGTTTTGATCGCTGTTTATAGAGACAACCTACTGAAGTTAGTACCTCATTCTAAAAGAATAAAACATTCTAGTGCAAGCCGTGAAGGCTGCGAAATTGTTACTAGATCAAGGTAAATATCGAACATCTGGAGTTCCTTTTGCTTTCGGATCACTAATTTATTTTTCGGATGATTGCTTGTGAAATTTCGGGGAATCCAAGTATGAACTCGATTCTAGAGAAAATTTGGGGCTATTGGAATTGTGGAAAAACAGATTATGGGCAGCGCAAGTGTCTGATTTATGGGGAATTTTATAAATATTTTGAACATTCAAGATAGAAATGGGACAATTGTATTGTTAGACACAAGAAACATCTTGAAGGAGGTAAGGTTAGTGCATCCTAAATATTTTAAAATGAAATTTCATGACATACGTTCGCGTACTTATTTCCACCAACAAAAAAGTAATTATTGACCCCTAAATAAGACCTCGAATTGTCTTATAGGTATACATACAAAATTCCCTAAAAAATCACCCAATTTACTTACAATATTAAAAGATTTGTCAATCTCTGTAAGGCACCACAAAAGTCACTTAATCATTAGAACGGACACAAAATACTTTGGGACAAGTCAATCGCTCTCCAAGCTCCATTACTAAAATCTGTACCCTGATGCTGACTTTCGGGCAAAACACCGGAAAAATGCATGATACGTTTGGTTCGTAAAATCGAATATCTCTTTATATGTATCCCAAGTAGTATATATATCATAGAATGAGGCGAAAAGCAGTTTACGTCTGTCAGTTTTTTGTTACCAACGCTAGCGAATATAACCGACTAGATAACAGAGATAAATAAAAAGAACGCTTCTAGCAAAATATCAACTCATTGCACACATTTGTACATCAGTTAACAGTACTTGATCTTGATGACCATTGTATACCAGTAAAGGTTGCTAACTCTGATTAAACTCGAATAATTCAACACTTCGAAGGTGTAGTCGTGAACACAGGCAAATCCTTCTGCCAGTATTTAATGTATCGACAATAATTATCATAGAATAATAGTGTATGTATGTACATTCGGGCATTCAGAAATCCATACTTCACAAATTTTCCATTAGCTATTACGGATTCATTGGAATTTCGAATGGGTCGTTGTGTAGTGGTTCTAAAACCTGAATAGTTTTGATATTTTATCTTTTGAATTGTTTTGGATTCATGTTTGCACTCTTTTAAGTACCAGTTATCATCTTTCCATCACTATTCTGCTTTTTTAGTGAGATACTTGCTCTGATATGCTCATCCTTGTACCCTTTAGATTTTCGTCCTGGCTGAGTTATTTTACTTCGCCACTTTCTTTTAAATAAGAAATTCATCTGTTAGATATAAACCTGCTAACAACTGGGATTTATGGTAGCATATCAGACCAGATAGATGAATGTATTAAAAAACTTAAACTCCGAATGACTCACGATATGAGAATACATATTTAAAAGATGTTTTCCGAATCAGTATGTACTACGAATGGTGCACACTAAATGCCATATAAACCGAAAATAAGGACTTACAGCAGAAGTTTCGAAATACGGAATGCTTAGATCATCCGCTAACCCTTGGGCTTTTTCCACATTGTTGATCTGCTTCTCTTTCAGGTCTGTTTTATTGCCCACAAGAACGACTAAAAGCCAGGTATATGATAAGAAAGTACTCTTACCCGGTATACGTATATTATTAGGTTTCCGTAATTCTCTCAGGATAAGCTTTGCACTGGAGAAACTTTCCTGGTTAGTTACATCAAAAACAACAACGATAAGGTTGGTCATATTAATCTACCCTTATAAAAATAATTAATGTCCTACATAATGATTCATGGGATCCTGAAAAACTTCTTTGCCTGGGATATTATATAAGAACAATTCCTAGGAAATAAGTTCTTTACTGTTCACTTTACCGCA